AGCAGGGAAGAGCAAATCAACTTGAGCCATAATTGATGGTTAGTTGGTGTTGCAGCTTTAAATGAAGTGCTGGGGCTCCAATCTGCTTGAAATTTGCCCTGTCTAATGTAACAGAAGTATCTCTCCTTACTTTTATGTATAAATTATTGAGTGATGAAGAAATGAACTTTACAGATTTTCAAAGGAACTGTCTACTTCCCAATTTCTCCACATGCACCTGGGTTGAGTCCTGGCATGAATAATGCCTATTATATTACAACAGATGCTTACCTTTACACTGCAGCCCTGTATTCACTTTCCTGGAAGAAAACTTGGTTGAACATATTGGACTATTGCTTCTAGGTAACCTCGCATAAAAATGCACTGCTGAAATAGTATTGAGCACAAAGACTAATTATGTGAAGTTTTTCTGCTTTATCTCCTAAAATGTTCAACAGTAGGTACAACAGATTACAAAATCCATAAAAACAACACTATAACAATGGTGTCAGAAACAACAAAATCAACAACAATCTAGCCGTTAAAAGTAATGGAGAGAATAATTACTATTACCCATCAGAAACCTGGAAAACAAATAATGTAAAGTTTAATGTAAACCAGCTGAACAAGTGTAGGGAGTGGAAGGACAACTCTCTGAATGTTCTACTTACCAAAGGCTCAAGAAATGGAATAATTCTATGGCAAATAAGAGAAAGTGAAAATGGCATTGGATTAATCAATTCCACAATCAGGCCACAACCACAGAAAATCCAATATTTAGCTCTTTAACTTGCATATTTATTCAGCTTAATTTGGCTTGCTCTTCCTCTTGCAAGTAGTCCAGAGTGGTGGACATGGTTCCTTTTCTCTGTTTGATTCTCAAAAGAAACCTGTGGAGATGGGTCAAGGCGAGACAGAGATTATGGAAGATGCAAACTTTTGGCACAGCAGAATGTTGTGGTCATAGGCAGGTCACAAAATTAAGATCTGAGAAGAGGAAGGTGGAAATTAGAGTGTGGGAGGGATAGAAATTTGAGAAGAAGCTGTTAGTTATCTCTGATGAATAGTCTCCATTCTTTATTGTTGTGGCTATTTAAACAAAAGCAAAAAGACCACCATCCCATGACTTGCAGTGACATCTTTTCCTTCCAATATTACTGCATATAAATGGAGGAGACTTTTTTTAGGCAGCCTGGCCCCAATTAATTTAAGAGAGCTCTAAGATTTCTCTCTTTTTTTATTTATTTATCTTTATTAATAAATTTCTCATAACAATAAAAGACAAATCAAAAGAAAGAAAGGAAAACAAAGAGAAAGAAACAAGAAGTGCAAGAAAAGAAAAAGAAAGAAAACACTGAAGTTAAGAAATATATGAATGACTTCCAACCTTCTTTTCAACAGATAATTACAATCTTATTGTCCTTCCTCCCTCTTAAATGTTATACAAATCCCTTCAGCCTCTCATTTAGTCCGCATCTTTCTTAATCGTCATATCTGTAAATCGTAAATTCACTTGTTTCTTCTTTCAGCAAAACGTCCATATAAGATTTCCAACCTTTCAGGGAAAAAAAAAAAAGGTTGTTCTTTCTCTGGCCAAACAGATCAATTTCACCATTTCTGCAAATTCTCACATTCTCACAATCCATTCCTCCACTGTAGGAATTATTAATCATTATTCTTCCAGCAACTCCAAGAATTCTCATAAATGGTCACTATAGCCGGGGAAACCTGTGAACTGAAGTTCACATATCTAGGGAGTACCCTGGATCCTGGTGATATCGGTTTTCAAAGGATAATTCCAACATTTTTAATTAGATCTGGAAAGAAAGTAGAAGTTTGTGAAGTCTGCATAATTATATCATGTGATGTTAATACTCTGGAGCCAGTGTGGTGTAGAGGTTAAGGCACCAGACTAGAAACCAGGAGACTGTAAGTTCTAGTCCCATCTTAGGCACAAACCCAGCTGGGTGATCTTGGGCCACTCACTCTCCCACAGCCCTAGGAAGGAGGCAATGGCAAAAACCTTGCTAATAAAACTGCGGGGACTAGTCCAAAGAGGATATACACTCTAGTGAACTACCAAAATTATATTCTTTCATTACATAGAATCCTCTTCATTCTTTACTGGTTCTCACCCTGGTTTCCAAACACCCCATAGTTCCACATACAGCTAGCTGATCATTTCACCAGTGACCCTGAATCTCCTGCCCAACCCACTCTTTCTCTTGGATCTGTGGTCCTAGGAATGATCATGGGAGATCTGTGAACTACTCAGAAACCCAGGCAACTGATGATGATGAAGTGTTGTGTGACAGAAGAACCTCGTTCCAAAGTTTTGTCAGGATGACTAGCAATGTGTGAATCTGCTGAGGATTCCCATTTTCCTGGTTCTTTTATCAATGAGTCACTGGATTCCTGGTTTTCCTCTTCCATGCTCCAACCTTCTCACCCACTCCTATTCCATTCCTTAATATTCACCTGGTTCCCAACTTTCTTTTACCATTTCCTGGACTCTGGGTGGCTTCACTTCAGATTTCAAGCCCAAGTGGCTTTTGGTGATGTTATGCTCTGAAGAGCTTTCTATATCACAATGGGAAATATTACAGGCTTTGTCGGGTGCACTGAGTCTGTTGTTTTCAGGTTGATTCTTCCTGACCCACCCACTAGCAGGGCACATGCATTATATCTCAGCATGAGGTGCCAAATGGAGCATCATGGAGCATCCGCCTCCAGCAAATCTGTGTCAGCCGGAACACAGTTGGGAAATAGAGCCAATCTGGCACAGGCTGTACAGAGGGAACCGATCTGCTAGATGACAAGTGCCTCCTGTTAAAAATGTGACTGTGTGACAACTTAATTTGCAGTACAAGAATTAACCCCATTTTCACCAGTGTCCTGGATTACTTAATTAATGACTTATTTGCAACCATTGGCCCAGAGGCTGAAGGGCTCTATGTTGAAACTGCTGGTAACTGGTACACAAAGGGAGGCCCACGTAGAATTGTTGAAGTCTTCTTGCTTATAAACAATGTCCATTGTTTATAGGCAATTTAAAGACTGGCCTTTGATGTCAGGAATGCCCCATAACTAATGAGTGCATATAAATCTATGTGTAAGTAACCATTCTGGAAGCCGTGTGACAGTCTTCATTTACATAAATTACCATAGAAACAATAAAAACTCTTCCCAGGCTGTGTCAAGTAAAAGGCTAGGTGAGACTCCTTCATATTATCTAATTTTCTAGGTATGTGGGGATTCATATTGTTCCATACCTGTCACTGCATTTAGTTTTAATAATTCACCTAGTAATTGTGCAGATGACATTTCCATAATTCCCTGAAAAATGGTGTGAAATCTCTCACACACTTATGCACACTTTTTTCATTCACACACACACACACACACACAAACACACCACTACCCTGTTTTCCTGGATTTTTGCTAAATCTTTCCTTGCTATTATATAGGTCTTCAAATAGTTCTGGAGCCCATGATAGAGAAAACATGAATCTCTTTGAACAGCACATCCATGCTTTCGATTGCATTTTGTCATAATTCCATAGACACATACTGAATTCTTTGTCTCCAAAAACCACCAGTTCTGGGGTCCCTACATCAGGACCACTACAAATAATCCAAACGAAATCAGGCTCCTATAAGGCATTGTAAGGAAATTGGTGCATGTGTGACATAGGAAAATAGACCATGTCTACAAACCATCACCACCACCCAATCTACTTTGTATTTTGCTTCTCTGTAATGAGAAAGAAGGGAAGGGAAACATTGGAGCTGAGAGGTTGACAGATCTACTTTCTGATCACAGGTTTATTTTTATTAGGAGTCGTCTTATGCTTTGAGGAAAGGTATTTGCATCTTTGCCTTGAGATGTTTAATTTGCTCCAAAACCAAAATGCATGGGCATATAGCTTTTTTTTTCCCTAAAAAAGCAATACATTTAAAGAAGCCTGGTTTGAAGATTAAGGATGCAAAATAATTCTTCACTGAAAATAGTAGAAAGATTATAGAAGGTTGCTCCTTATTAAGCACCATGATAATGGAGTCCCTGAAATTTTTCAGATCAAATGTCTTGATAAAATAGTAAATGTTTGCAAGAGTCATGCCCTTCAGACAGGAAACATCAACACTGGGCCTCAGTTAAAAGCAATCTAAAAATTAAAATGAAAAAGACAAGAATTAAAAAGCAGCAAATAAGGAGAGCCGCCAATCTAACCTAACACACTTGATGCTAACTGGCAAATGCTTTTCCCATCTTGCACAAATGGTATTCCTTCTGTCTGGAAATCATCTGCTCTTCTTTCTGAGCTGTGGCCCTTCTGTACAAAGATGACCTTCAGAAATTGAAATGAAGTCAGTATTTTATAAAATAAAATTAAAGATGAAATAAAATAATTTAGTTTGCATGAGGTGGTACAGTCCAGAAAAAATGGCCTCATATGTGCCTGATCTGCTTTTCTGCTGTAAAGAAGATGTACTGTGGCCTTTGCCTTCTTACTTATATATTCTGCTCAACCAATCCTTTGGATCTATCCGGGTATGCAAACAAAGATACATGGCAGCGGAATGACCTTCCCACGGTCACTTGGGAAAGAAATTGCAAAACAAGAAGTAATTGCTCCCAGATTTACCCTGCCTTTAAAGCTATCATTCCTTCAAGAAAAGGAATTTCATTGTAGGGACACTAGATTTCAGACACTGAAAGGTCAAATAGGTATCTTGACTAGTTACTGTATATCCATACATCACAACAGCAGAGCAAATGGGAGCATCTCTTCAGAAAGACACATTTCTGTACACAGAAGCATGAAAGCTAATAGATTGGCCATTGTGTTTTTACAGATCCACCTCTCGTCAATCTGTCAGTAGAACCTCAGCCTGTCCTTGAAGACAACACGGTAAAGTTTCACTGCTCTGCTAAAGCCAATCCAGCAGTCACCCAGTACAGGTAAGTTCATAAGTTCATCTGGAAAAAACCATCATTTATACTTGTTATAAACATCAGCTGTGCTAAGAAGTTGTAGTCCTCATTGGATGTTATTCTACCTGTGGGCAAGAAGTAGGTGTGGTGAGTTTGCTGGGAAGATAGTACTTCCAAAAAAATGAACAGCATCTCTTTTTTTTTCCTTCATTTTTTTTATTAGACACTCTGAAGAAAATACATCCACGAGTATGTATTATATCATGTTAAAGGACTGAGAATCGCTATTAAGCTAACAATGAGTATCAGGAACTATTTATTTATTTATTTATTAAATTTGTATGCCGCCCATCTCCCCCAGTGGGTGACTCTGGGCGGCTCACAATGAAAGTAAAAGCCACAAACAGTTAAAAAAAAATAAATACCTGTCAGGTTCAGCCCAAAGAATTCCATGAGACAGTACAGGTCTAGTTCGATAGCTTTTATTAACTTTCAACCACAAGACAGACTGAATCTAAACTTCTCAAGCCAGCAAACAAACACTGCGAATTCCTTAGGGTGGTGCCAGTCTCATCCTCTTAACCTTCCCGCGCTCCTGCTGGGGGCTAAGGGAATGCTTATCTCCCCGAGCGCGGCCTTCACCAAACCATTCCATCACAATACCCCCATTCATTAATTAAAATTAATTAATTAATTAATTAAAAGTCAAACTACAAAAACAAGCCCTATACATAAAAACGGGGGAGATGACGGGGGAGTAAGATGAATTACCCCACCAGCCACTTCCACAGGTGTGAGCCCCCATTTGGCCTCCAGGTGATCTGGCATAGCCAGGATTTCACGCTCTTCCTGAAGGCCATGGGGGGGGCACCCTGCACCTCAGATGGTAGGTTGTTCCACGGGCAGGAGCCATGGCAGAAAAGGCCCTCTTCCTAGACCCCACCAGCTGAAATTCCTTGACTGGTGGGGTCTGCAACATGCCCCTTCTGCCAGACTGAGTGAGGCGGGCTGATGTAATGGGGGCGAGATGGCTCCTCAGCTAACCTGGTCCTGTGCCATGAAGGGCTTTAAAGGTGATAACCAACACCTTGAATTGGACACGGAACAAACTGGCAACCAATGCAGCTCGCATAACAGTGGTGTTATATGTGCCCCCCTGGGGACCTTCAGAACTATCCGCACCACTGCATTCTGCACCAGCTGTAGCTTCTGGATACTCTTCAAGGGTAGCCCCATGTAGAGGGCATTGCAGTAATCCAACTGGGAGGTGACCAGGGCATGAGTGACTGTGCAAAAGGCCTTCCAATTGAGGAAGGGGCGTAACTGATGCACAACATGAAGTTGTGCAAAGGCCCCCCTAGCCACAACTACCATCTGCTCTTCAAACAGGAGTCATGAGTCCAGGAGGACCCCCAGATTACACACCGGGTCTGTCTGGGGTAGTGCGACCCCATTAAGAACCAAAGGTGATAAACTCCCAGACCTTGAGGCTCCCTGTACCCACAGCCACTCCGTCTTACCAAGGTTCAGTTGAAGCCTGTTGTCCCCCATCCAGGCCCCTACAGCCTCCAGGCACTGCAGAAGGGTAGCCACAGTATCACTTAGGTCACCCAGGATGGAGATATATAATTGAATATCATCAGCATACTGATGTTACCTCATCCCATGGTCAACCCAATATAAATCACGGAATGGAATTATACAGTCAAGTCAATTCAGTCCATAGGACCAAAAATCCATTCTGATTAAGTAATTTTAAAATTGAAATATAGATTCTATGCATAGATAAACCCGAATTTTGGGTGCAGTACCAATCCATGTATTGGATTATAGTCACCACATACATGGACTTCGGTGCCCAGATTTTCAGCAACGTTCATGCTAGCTGAGATTCTTTTTGAAGATTACACAATTGGAGGGCACAGACTGGATAATGTTGCTTTAAGGGGGCAGGGAACATGAACAGATAATGTCCTCTTTGAATTAAACATAACTGTCAACAATACACAACAATTTTCCTAACCCTTCTTCTGGAATGTTTTTTTCAACTTTGATACTTTCTGGTGGTCTTCCTTTTTGATTCTGTTGAGTTTGTTGAATTCAGCCAAGGTCGGCTAGATGCTGCTTCAAGACAGGAAAGGCTTCTTCAAGCTTGGGAGTTCTTCACTATTAAGATAAACTACCTCTTGTAAGCCCCATTGCCCCACTCACCACATCTACCACAAGTGCAAAGGGCAAAAGTTCCTGACACCACTTCTGTGAATCATACAATGAAAGTTGGAGGTGCTTAACTGGTTGGGAATGGCCCTGATTTCATCCAGACATTCTTTGAGCACTGGTGTATTAAAGCATTTCTGGATACAGACCCCAAAAGAGCAGATGAGGGGGAGGTCTGTTTTAGTCCAATGAACTGCTTGGGGTATAGAAGCAGTGCTGCCCTCTAGCAGAACCCAACAAACTTCAGCTGATTTCTCAGTTCTGTCCCTAGGCTGAGCAGATAAAGCTGGTGACAGGCTCACCAAAGGTTGCAGTGGAAATTCTTTGGGTTGATGATGTTATTCAGTATTGAGCTCCAATGGCCTCAGCTTTGTAACAGTCTCTGCATTTTGCTGAAGCTGCTGCTGTAATATGTGTGGCAGCTTCTTCCTGATCTAACACCCAGAGGCTGTTTAGAGAGCATTGACAGTGGACAAGCAGAACCATCTGCTCAGGGTTGCAACGTACAGAACCCACGTGCTGAACGTGGATTCTGTTTCATTGCTTTATTATATGTTTCCTGCATAATCTTTGACTTTATGAAACAGACAACTTCATTAATTTCATTTGATTACAGCTTCCAGTGTTGTTTCTAATACCTACATGGTGGCTTTTAAACTTCTCTCGCAGACTGTTAGATGTTGTCATTATCTCCGGGAGATCCAGATCTATGACTCTCCCGAAGCTTAATCTCTGGAGCTCCTTCATGTGGTAGAACAAGGACATGAATCTGCCTGATGTTGAAGGACAGCAACCATGCGCAATCTCTTCTTGCTGTCTGGAGCTCCAGTCCCATTCACATAAAAGGTCCAAGTATCACCTAGGCTTGTACACCTTAACATACATTAAGAGAAGAAGTAACTTGCTGAGTTTGGCTTATCCATTGTTTGTCTGACCCTTTGATCATGAAACAAAGAATAAATATGGCAGTGGCATATACTGCCTCATCCTAGCCATCAGACATTAGTTAGCTTTCTCTCTTCTAAGAAGGCTTTATTTGAGAGGTGACAATAGCTGATCTCATATTCCTCAGCCTCTGTTCTACAATGCCATGAATCTACATTTATAAAACTGGGAGACAGTATCTTAGAAGAGCATCTGATATTCTTTTACTCACCTGAATGCTGCACAAAGTATTTTGTAATTTCAAACATTTTTGCAGATGTCTTTTTAGGATCAATCTTATTTTATACTTAAGGAATAAGTATGAACTGCCTTCTTTAGGCATCTCTGAACTGTTCTGTCTTAGGCCCTTCTGGATTGTGGAACACTTGTTCCATTTTCTGTTCCTTGTTATCAGTTGCCTTAGCAATATTGGTGAAACTAGCTAGCAGAATCAGAGAAAATGGGAAGAATAAGACAGAGGAGATATGGTAGGAAATGTAGCATGGGTGGGCTGTTGTTGTTCCACTAAAATTAGAAGGTAGTGATAGTTGCTGAATCTTGGCTGCTCAGACAGAATTGCAAAACAAGTAACCTGTGTTATGGGGAATACTTCAACCAACTTCCTTTTTTAAAAAAAAAGACTTCCCAGGAATCTGCCTTATCTCAGGAACATGATCATACGTTTTCATATAAGCTAATGAATGCTGTATGTTGTGGGGAGAGTGGGGGAGAAAGGATTGAACAATGCTGAATGGATTTCTGCTGTAGCATAACAAGTTCATTAAATTTTGTGGGCGTATGGATATGATAGATGAACTAAGCCAACGGAATCTGCCAACTGTTTCAATTAATTTAAATAGGGCAGCACTTGAATGTATGAAAACGACAGTGTACTTACAGACACTATTATTTTAGCACAGTTACTGGTATGTAATGCATTTGAGGATTGCCTGGGCTAAAACCAAGAATTGGGATTCCTGACATCAAAACAAAAGACCATCTCCAGTGTCAAACGGAGAAAAACCTCCAGACTGTATGCAGAATAGTGGGAAATAAAAATGAATGTGTATGCGTGTGTTTTAATGTTACGTAATAGTAAGTAGAAGAAAAAATGTTTAAAAAATGATGGATTGGTGTACTTCTCTACTAATGTGGACAATCAAATAGACTGGATCTACACTGATTCATTGATCATTACACTCCGCTGTCCATATTCAGAAGCATTCCATATTGAAACTAGGTTTTAATCCATGGAAAATGGTTTCATCCTTTCTATGCCAGGATGGTGTAGTGAGCAAGCAAAGCCTCCCCATGTCTTGGCCACACCAGCTGATGACTCATCTTTCTTAAGCATTCCCAACCCTTTCTTTCAGCATAGCTACACAATGCTCACATGTTCCCCTGCTCTGTGCCATGCAGCAAGGTCTCCTGCAGAGTCTGTCTTTGTGTTTGCATTGAGGTTGAGGTGCTTAATTGGCACTTATCCAAATGCGTCAGAGCATTAGCTCCAAAGGTCAGGACATGTTAAAGAGACACATCAGTGAGGAATGCCATTTAAATCTTGTTGCTGTGTCTGTTCCAAAAAGGACATCTTGGCACAACGTGTCCTCCAGCTGCATGTTGCCAAAGGGCTAACTTTCCCAGAAATATTTGGGAGACTTGACAAATGTTATTCTTGAAATGCCTTGTGTCCTTTTTCAACTATCTTGGAAGAGCTGAGGTAAGAACTGCCAAATTGAATGTGTGAGGAGGTGGGTGGTAGTGAGTCAGGGGGGTGTAAGTAGTTGCAGGCAGAGAAGTGGAATAGAAGTCGTCTTCTGGCTTTGAGATTGTCTCTGTGTTGGGAGAGAAGTAGCATAGCTGTATTCTAAGAAGTGGGATAAATG